GATACAAGATTGGTTGTGCAGTCTAACAAGGAGAAGGTGGCGGCCATAGCCGCCGAGCTCGAACACGGAGTGACGAAGGAGGAACAGTGGTAGAGAAGGAGGAAGAGACCGAGAGGAGTAAGGAAACCATAGCCGAGAAACGTGAAGGGAGAAACAAAAAAAAAAAAAGAAAAAAAAAAAAGGAGAAAGAAGATAGCCGGGGTGGAAGAAGAAAGAGGCGAGTAGGGAAAAAGAAGAGGAAGGGTGGTGAGGAAGAAGAAGACGGCAGCCATAGCCGGGCGAAGTGCTGACCGGCGGAGTTGACCGGAGTTGACCAGGTGTTGACCGGCGGAGTTGACCGGAGTGACCGGGAGTTGACGGGGGGTTGACCGCAGCGTTGACCAGGGTGTAGACCGGCGTTGACTAAGCGTTGACCGGAGCCGCTGACCGTCAGTTTGACCAAGCTGGAGTTGGTATATTCTCGCCAAGCCTTCAACTTATCCCCTCGCCCTATGGATGTGCACACACCCTGTGGTACTTGCTGAGTCTGTCTGTCTCTTCTTTCTGCATCGAGTCTCTTCTGTCCAGGTGTAGGAACTTTGTGTATGAAGGATAGGGCCTTGTTGACCAAACCCACACGGGCTGAGTATGGCTAAAGACTGTGTCTGACGACTCGACTGTCCCGAAGGACACGAACCCTCCCAAGGACCGGTAATGACCGGCGGGCAGCTCGGTGTGGCACGGTAGGCCCAAAACCCGAGTTGTGGGCTGCACAACAGGCCGTCTAAGTCTTGAGAGGACTTGCTGATTGCATCGTCCTGTCTGCGACGTTAAATAATTCCTGAGGAGTTACGGGAGATCTCCTTAAATGCCTCCTGATCAACAGTGAGTCTTGTAGTGACGACCATAGTTTAGGTCCAGGCTAGTGACCCTAGTTGACATGATCCTATCCGGATTTTGTGGTCCATAGATTGAGTCAGTTAGGTTGTGTCACTCAGGGGGTAGAAGTCTAAGTGGTGAGGAGTGGAACTACTGTCCAGTTGTGCACCTGACACCATGGTTGACACTCGTAGTGGGAAGAGCACTACCCCTTACACCCAGGCTCAAGAGGAGCAAGCCGCCGCTATTTTAAGTGAGAGAAAAGAGAAGAGGGAGAAGAAGGAGTTCCTTAAGCAGGCGAAGTTGAAGATAATCGCAGAGGAGCAGGCGACGAAGAAGAAAAAGTTGGAGGAGGAGCTAAAAAGAGTAAAACAGGAAGAGGAAGAGAAGATGAAGGTTGCAGAAGAAGAGGACGTAGAGGAGGAGGAGCAGTTAGAAGAAGAACAATCCCTCGAAAGGAGGCGTGCGGGAGGAAGAGGAGAGAGCAGTGGTACGAAGGAGAATGACCCGTGGGTGGAGAAGAAGATAAGCGAGTGGGAGGTTAATCTATCCTAGGGACAAGATGAGGAGGCGATGTTGTATATGCCTCAGGAGGAGAAGGAAGCAGCAGCAAGGGAGCTCAAAGCAGCGAGTGATCCCCTGGAACGCCAGACATTAGAAAATAAAAAAAAGTTCGAGTGGAAATTACGTCTAGTGAGAGAGAAGGAGAGGAGGATGGAGGAGGCTAACCGGATGGCCAGGGAAGTGGAAAGCTTACGGTCGTGTAGGCAAGAGGTAGAGGTCCAGCCTGATATACAGGCTAAGTTGGACAAGATCCTTGGGAGCATTGAGCTCCTAGACCGGGCCTGGACCGAACACCATCAGTCTGTTAGGGGCCAAGACATGGCCCTCCATTCCATCCGGACCGGGTTTAGAGAATTTGCGCGCGACGTGATGACTCACGTCGGGAACGAAGTTAAGAAGTCGAAGGAAGGCGCAGAGAAATTTTATGCAGGCGCCATTGAGGGCGCCAAAGTCATAGCCACGTTAGAGAGTGAGGGTCGTCCCCGCAAAGAGTCTGGTAAGCTCAAGTTTCCTGACTCTTATGGCGGGAAGAAGGAGGAGAATTTCGACAATTGGGAGGCTAGTGTCAACAGTTATGTATATTTACAACATATTTTACCTGAGGAACAAGTCCTTGTAGCCTTCCATGCCCTAAAGGATGAAGCGGCTAGTTTTGCCATGTCCCTCGCGCGAGCAGCCAGTTGTGAAAACAACATGGTTGCATATTCCAAAATTACACCCCTTCCTCATTTCTTCAAACTCCTGAGAGAGAGGTTCGCTGACGTCACGAGAGGTGCCAGGGCCTCTGACAAGTTGCAAACGATCCACTCCAGGCAGTGGAAGAGTGCGAGAACACTCAAGGCAGTGATGGATGATCTGGTAGCCATCCCAGACGATGGGGTCACTGAGACCTAGTTAGTTAACCTATTTTTATCGTGCCATGCCAGAGCCCCTGCTAGGGCATATCTTTGAAAAGACCCAACAGACCAACATTAAGTATGATGCGTTAAGTAGAGAAGTGGTCCTGTTCGAGGCGAAATCCATGCCAATTTCCACTTTTTGCAAAAGGATTTGGATAAAGGAAAAAAGTGGAAAGGACATACCATCTAGGGTCAGGTTAGAGCGAAGGATCACCTGATCCTTACTTTAGATGAGGGTGGTACGGATGAAGTCCCCTACAGCCAGATCGAGTGGGGGCTAGAGGAGGATGAAAGTAGTGTAGGTCAGGGGAGGACGTATGCTGCTATCGCGGCTGGAGGGAGGCCGCAAGGTACAGGAGGCGGCCAGGGGCAAGGGGGCCGGGTCATGGGAGGTCGAGGTTCGGGCGCACAGGGGGTTGGCGGCCAAAAGAACCGCCAAGAGGGAGGTAGGGGTCAAGGTCCCCTGTCGAATCGTTCGGGTCCCAGTCGATCCCCACAGCGGAGAGGTGGAGGATCACCTCAGAGGAGAGGAGGTTGGCACCCAGGTTGGCCACAGGGCCGGCCTTGGGAAGATCTGGGCTTGGATCAGCGTGTGTGGCAACAACGAATGGAGCAGGGGCAGTACATTCACTGCGGTGACCCTGCCCATATCATTAAATATTGTCCAATGTATAGGGAAGCCCATTTCGCTGCCCAAGGGTCAAAAGGCAGTCGTCGGCAGGGGTCGCAACTGCCCCTACCACTAGGAAATGTAGGGAAGTGTGCGTGCACCACCAGGAAACTCCCACACCACATGAGCCTATGGCAGAGGTTGCTGGTTTGTGCCTAGTTAGTTGTCCAGAGACTGCCTGTGTTAGCGTCTCTCTAGGCACTTCCCTCACAGGTCTGGCAAAAGAGTTGAAGGAGAGGAATCGGTCTGGGCCAAAATGAAGAAAGAGGGTAAGGGACAATTAGTTTTAGTAGATTTAGAAGTTTTCAAGAGCAGAGCTGGGGGCCTTATAGATACAGGGGTTACCCGTAGTTATATTAGTCGTAGAGCGTTGAAGATGCTGAGGCTAGGTCTGAAAGTCCATAAATTGGAAGACCCCATAGTCAGTATCATCGCAGACAATCGCACGATGAGTGCCGAGGATTATGTAGAGGGAGTCCAAGCGTATCTTCGCCTAGAAAAGGATGGGAAGGTGGAGAAAGTTCGGCATTCCCTGACTCTCCTCGTAGAAGATAACCTCCCTTTCGATATAGTCCTAGGTATGGACTGGGGAGAGGCAGCAGGGGCCACACTCTACTTAAGAGAGCATGAGTGTAGGCTCCCTAGTCCATCAGGCGAGGTCAAGACTGCCTGCCTGTTGCATGTGTCAGGGGTAGACAACTCCCTGACACATTGTTGTCTCAATGCTCCCGCGTTCGCGCGATTAGTGAGAAAGGAGCAATTAGAGGAGCAGGTCTTTGTAGCCTACGTGAGGCATGTCACTGAGCCTGAAGAGGATAAGCCAATGGATCCAGCCATTGCCAAGCTGCTGGAAGAGTTTAAGGACTTAGCGGAGCCGCCAACAGGAGTAGTGTCGCGGCCGATCCAGCACCGTATAGAGATAGAACCTAGCAGTAGGACTCCTAAGGGAGCAGTCTATAGGATGTCCCCAAGGGAGTTAGAGGAGCTGCACAAGCAGTTGGATGAGCTCCTCGAAAAGGGTTGGATTACGCCCAGTTCATCTCCTTTTGGAGCATCAGTGTTATTTGTCATTAAAAAGGAGGGAGAGTTACGTATGTGTATAGATTAAAGGGTTCTGAATGCGATCACAGTAAAGAATGTTGAGCCACAGCTGAGGATAGACGATCTCTTAGATCGAGTGCAGGGCTGCAAATATTTTTCAAAGATAGATTTAAGTCCGGAAATCATCAGATATAGGTTCATCCTGATGATCAGTACAAGACTGCTTTCCGGACTAGATATGGGCATTATGAGTTCATAGTGATGCCCTTTGGACTGACCAATGCGCCGGCCACATTTCAGCATTGTATGAATGATGTGTACAGGCCTTGGTTAGATAAATTTGTAGTTGTCTATCTAGATGACATATTAGTATTCAGTAAGACCCTCCAAGAGCATCAGGGTCATTTGAGGCAGGTCTTGGAGACGCTGAGAGAGGCTAACTTCAAGGTCAATGCGAAGAAGTGCGAGTGGACCAAGATACAAGTTTTGTACTTGGGCCACGTTTTAGACGGAGATGGGATTAAGCCTGAGGATAGCAAGATAGCGGTGATTTGAGATTGGCCGACGCCCCGCACACTGACAGAATTGCGGTCGTTTTTAGGCCTAGCTAACTATTATAGAAAGTTTGTGAGAAACTTTTCTACTATCGCCGCTCCCCTTCGCAGGTTGCTAAGGAAAGAAGCGATTTGGACGTGGGACAAAGATTGTACGTCCGCGCTCAAGAATTTAAAGCGCGCGTTGATAGAGTACCATGTCCTTAAGGTAGCAAATCCGTCCTTGCCATTTGTCATCACCACAGACGCGAGTCAGTATGGTATAGGCGCCGTGTTGCAGCAGAACGACGACAATGGCTATAGACCCGTAGAGTTCATGTCAGCGAGGATGCCCTCAGAGAAGGTAGCCACCTCCACGTATGAGAGAGAACTCTACGCTCTCAGGCAGGTTGTATAACACTGGAAGCATTACCTACTTGGGAGGCACTTCAAAGTATATTCAGACCACGAGACTCTTAGGTGGCTGAAAACGTAGGCCAAGATGACACCTAAGCTAACTAGGTGGGCCGCTGAAATAGACCAGTATGCCTTTGAGCTCATGCCTGTCAAAGGCAAGTACAATGTAGTTGCGGATGCTCTAAGTAGGAGATCAGACTACTTTGGAGCTATTGTTCACTATCTGGATATAGGGAGAGACGTGCAAGAGAAAGTAAGACAGGCGTATGCGCAAGACCCTATTTATAGTGACCTTCTCAAGAAAGTTAAGGAGGCCCCTGAGACTGGACCAGATTACCGTACTACATAGGGATTACTGTTCGAGAAGACCAACATAGTAGCCCGTTTGTGCGTTCCTGCTAGCGAGGAGATCCGTAGTCTGATCCTAGGGGAATGTCACGACACAGAGGGACATTTATGTTGGCAAAAGACTCTAGCCAACCTGATGCAGGCATACACTTGGCCAAGAATGAAAGCCGACTGCATAGAGTATGTTCGCAGTTGCAAAGTCTGTCAGAGAAATAAGACAACTACGCGTGCTCCTCTAGGTCTTCTTCGACCCTTGCCTATACCCGATCAGCCTGGCGACTCAGTGTCCATTGATTTCATGGATACTAGCGTCAAGAGTAGGCACGACAAAAGCCAAGTCATGGTTATAGTCGATAGGTTTAGTAAATACGCATTTTTGTCCTTTGTCTGCGGAGGCACGTACTGATTTAGTAATCTAGAAGTTTTTTGATCATTGGGTGAGTGATCACGAGATTCCGCTGTCTAGAGTTACCGATAGAGACACCCGGTTCACTAGTCAGAACTGGCAGGAATTGATGAAAGTCTATGGGTCAAAGTTGCTAATGTCATATGACCGTCATCCAGAACCCACGGTCAGACTGAGCAAATGAACAAAATCCTGCAACAAGTTTTGCGCATGTATATTAGACCGGATCAGATCAACTGGGATGAGATGTTTCCCAAGGTATCCAGTGCGTATAACAATAGCGTGCCTTTAGCCACCTGTCGTACTCCCAATGAGTTGCACAAGTCCTTTAGACCGCGCAGACCGTTTGAGGGACTTAACCGGGATCAGATTCATAGGATACCGCCTGGTACTAGGGAGTTTGCAATGCACCACAAGGAGTTAGCTACCGTCGTTGAGAACCTCAGGAAGTCCCAGCACAGAATGATAGAACAGGCAAATAAGCACCGTTGCCCATCACAGTTTGAAGTAGGCGACCTTGTCTGGGTCAAGTCCAAAGAATTTTCTCCTGAGGAGAACATTTCGCAAAGTTACTGCCCGCATACAGAGGACCGTGGCCAGTTCTAGAAGTTAAGGGCGAAGAGGATGGGCCGTCCTACATGGTAGAGATCCCAGCACACCTCCACACCTACCCCGTGTTTCATGCATCAAAGTCGTTGCCGTGTGTCACAAGCCAACAGTTTCCATCAAGAAGATCCATGATCCCTCCGGACATGGATGGAGGGTATGACATTGAAGGCTTAGTAGGCGAAGACGTATTCAGAACAGGAGGTAGAGGTCATCCACAGAAACAGCATAAGGTCCGATTAGCTTATCAGGAACCCAAGGACGACCGCTGGTTTACTGGAACTGAACTTCTAGAAACAGCTCCCGACATAGTAAGAGCCTATGAGAGAGAAAAGAAGGTAAAAATCCGATCTTGGACTGAGTTATTCTCGGAGGACCTTGAATTTAGGCCGGCGGGAGTGAAACGGTATTCACCCGTTAGCAGTAGCGAATGCAGATCCCAGGGCTCGATCCCTAGTCCTTACCTTACCTGTGTACACTACCTGTGTCGACCCCGAGAGTTGAACCCGTGACCTGTGTATTCGTAACAGTTGGTAGGCTGTCGTAGGGTCTGTAGGTTGTAGGGGTTCGATCTGTAGACCTGTCGGATAGAGGTCTTAGTGAGTTCTAGAAGTCGTAGCTGTAGAATTTCTGAAAGGTCAAGGTCGTAGCTGCTACGGTGTCGAAGGACCAAGTCCACAGACTTCCAGAAGGTCCGGAAGTGGCCCTTCAAACGTTGCTCACAGCAGACCAGAGGCAAGTGGGCAAGTGGTGAGGTACCCAGTCCCAGTCTCACTTAGTTCAGTCAGCAAGTACCATGTGGGACTGTGTGCACTCAGGGCCCGGTGGAAAAGAGGCAGACCAGCGTCCAGCCATTCATTCATTCCTGCGTAAGCCATGCGGAAGCGCTGCTCGAGCGACTTGTGCGAGGTGGTCTGCAGAGCGCCCGAAGACAAAGTGGGCAGAGTAGAGGTTGCGTAGCCATAGCCAGCAGGGTTAGGTGGCCATAGCTGCCGTAGGTGGTAGGCGAGTTTAGTGTGTGCGTGTGTGTTATACAGTGTGTTGCCTGTGGGATATCCAGGGTGATCCTGAGTTGAGTGTGTGTGAACAGCGGAGTTGAGCACAGTGACGAACAGAGAGTTGTACAGGCGCTGATGCGCCATAGCCTGTTGAAGCGAGCATGTATCTGAACTGTGTTTCCGACTTCCATATCTCTGAGCTTTGAGTGGGCGCTAAGTGCCGGTGTGACTTGCCATCTGTTTGCATGAATGCGAAGTGGAAAAGAAAGCGAGTCTGATTGCAGAACCGGAATTTTTGAAAAAAAGAAAAAAAGGAACCGGACTGATGCTCCCCATAATGGAATGGAGTCAGAACAGAAAGGTTCTGTTTTTTCCACAAAAAAAAAAAAAGAGGGGAAGGAAAAAAAAAAAAAAAAAAAAAAAAAGAATGCGTGGCCAGAAGCGTGTCGATTCCTGCTCGAACACTCGATTCGGATCCTTGACTTGTGCCTCTGGGATCGCGGCCTGTTGCTGCATGTCCTCCTTGGATCCCTCTGCCGCTTGTCCCGTCTGCTCCAGGTGTTTTTCCCCTCCTGTCTGCGTGTCTTGTGAACTTTGAGCCTGTTCCCCCTTGCTTTCCTGATCGTTCACTGTCTGTACTTCGTGTTTCCTATTGGTATCCTTTCTGTCCCGCTAATGACAGGTCTTCAGCCACTGGAAACATTTGCTGTATTCCTCCTCTTGAATGTGGATTTCGTTCTTGCTGTGTCGAGCCTTTCGCGCGTACTGAGCAGCATATAATTCATTCATTTCGTGCTTCTGCTTCATGTGAGGAACGAGCCCTCAAGAGGCCCTATCAGACATCACATGTTCTGGGCTAACGGCCCAGCAAGCCAAGTGCCCGCCCTAAGTGAAGGCGGGCCTGAATATTCGGCGAAGGCCAAATTTCGGCATTTCCATATGTGGGTATTCAGGCTCTCGCAGCACGCCAGTTGGTTGGGTAGACGCGTGAGCCTCACTAAGCTGCGTTGTACAGTTGGCCCAGGCCTTGACAGTTGCGCCTGGGCACATACACACAAAGCAGGGCCGATACATTGGGAAGCAGGCCATCGGCCTTTGGAAAAGCAGTACTGCCGACGCACCTACCTGGGAGCCCTGCACAGATGCAGCAAACAGCCCAAGTCCGGAGACTCAGGCCGTGCCCAACTGAAAAAGGCCCAGGCCCTCAACTGTAGTCTCGGGCCTGGGTGCAGGGTCTGAGGCCCAACCAGAAACTACTGGAAGCTTCCAGCCAGGCCACACGCAGCATCCAGGAGTGACAGAGACGACAACGACAATTGGTGGCATCTACATTGAAGTGGCTGACGCGGACAAGAGAGCGCACGTCAGATTCTGATGTGGCATTAACGAGGCATTGACGTGGCCTTGGTATACATGCCCGATGCTGACATGGAATTGAGGTGGCATTGACGTTGCCTTGGTCCATATGTCCGACGCTGACGTAGCATTGACGTGGCATTGATGATAGCGCACGTCATATGCTGACGTGGCATCCACGTGGCATTGATATTTGGAGTATGCAGTATCGTTGACGTGGCCGGTGGGATGTTATCAGATTGACGATGTGGCATTGCTGACTCACCATTCGGTGAGATAAGAGGCTGACGTGGCAGTGTCATATTCAGTTACCCGGCTTACGTGGCGTGTTGGTACCGCTCCTGACGTGTACCCCCTCGATGATGTTGACTGGATTACGGTGCTGACGTGGCAGACAGAAGTGCTGCTCTGTTGGCACTCCAGGGGATACACGTGGCAGGTTGGAACTTCGACTTCGGGGCAGGCTGGTATTTCGATTTCAGCATACATTGCTGACGTGCACCCCATTGATGATATTGATTARACCTGCTGACCTGGCATACTCATCGAGTTGCTGAGTTGGCAGGCCAGGGGTGACACGTGGCAGGCACGATCGTGCCTAAGYGAGGACAGCATTCTGATGACTGAAGCGGCRCGGCAAGAAGACTGACGTGGCTGTGGTGCCGAACGTCAGATTGTGTGCTGGTCACACAGGACAAAGAAGGACGAAACAGCAAGAAGGGGAAAACGCTAACTATTGATTGACTTTTGTTGGCGGACTTACCTGTTGTCTGGCTGTGTTGTGTACCTGTGTACTCACTTGTGTTTGTTGTTGATCATGCTGGCCTGGAGTTGCGGTACCTGAGATAGAATAGGATGTCATCACATTGAAAACAGAACAGCAAATAGAAATTAGAAAACTTCTGTTCCTTATCATGATTATTACTTTTGACTCAGATAGAGTGTTGGGATAGGTGACCGTGAAATTATTGTCTTTTGCGATAGAACAGTGTGCTGGTTTAAGAGTGGTAGAACAGCGTGCTGATTCAGGTGACCGTGAATTTTATTTTGCAGTAAAATAATCTGACCAACGAATTTTCGTGTTTCTGTTCTCTCAAGATGTCTTACTTCTGGAAATGTCTGCAACAGTCTATCTTGACGAGATTCCTGACTACCTTTTTGTTTCCTTTTCCGATCACACTTTCCGTTGGGGAAGGACCGTCTGAACTCAGGACAAGGGGACAGGCTGATAAGAAGAGAGAAGAACTGTTGGCTTTGTGGAATCAGTTTCTGATTGAGGTACAACTATCTGGACCGGATGCTGAGCAACACATCCGTGATAATTTCGATCTTCAGGAGGTTGAAGACTGCCTGAAGAAGTCTATCACGGCTGTGGAGGTTGTGGCAGCCGGTACAGAGGCCTCCAAACTGATTGCTCAGGGGCGACAGACTCTAGACCATTTTGCTTTGAAGCAACTGGAAGAGATTATGGAAGCTACTCGTAAAGGGGAGGTGAAACCAGAAGTAAGTGAGGAAACGATTGATGTTAACATCCAGCAGCTCAGAGATACTCTGGCTGCCAAAGAAAGAAAGAAGGAAGAATTAGTCAGAAGAAGAGAACAGGAACAGCGAAGGGGACAAAACGTTAAAGAGATCAGACAAGTCATAGGAACAGAAGTCGGTGAACAGACTGACATGTCACAAACGTTGGCTCATATTGTGACATATCTTACCTTTCTTGAGGAGAAGATTGATAGACAACAAAATCAGTTGGATGAAATCACTGTTGGATTGAGAACAATTGTTAATATTGTGAAAGGTAAGAATCAAATTCAGGGAGAAGAAGAACAAGAAGAGAAGAAGGAGAAGAAAGAAGTAAAGAAGTTGATGGGGGACGCAATAAAGTTTGTTGGTCCCATGATAAAGACAATGACTAATGGAAGTGGATCCAATGGAAATGGATCAAGTCCACCATCTACTCCTCACTCTTCTCATTCTTCTAAGTCTACTCCTAAAGAAACTCCAGAAAAGACAAGCACTGAACCCGAAAAACCGAAGAAGAAAGAAAAGGTGAAGATGAAGTTGCCATTTATGTTTTGCAACAAGAAAGAAGAAAGTCTGTTGCTGTGGATTGCAGAAATCCAGACGTATGTGAGTACCGCACCGGTCGAGCCGGAGTCCCAAGTCGCGTTCACCACTTCTTGCATGGGTGGTGAGGCCAAGCAATGGGTGTTGGCTGAGGCCAATGCGGCGGGTTTCGAAGATATCGGTGAGTGGGCAAAGACATTGACGCTGAAACAGTTCTTGGCAAAAACCAGGGACCGTTTCCTCGACAAGACGACAGCCGACAAGGCCTTTGACCAGTTGACGTCAATTGGTCAAAAGGATTGGACGTCAGTTGAGGCTTTGTCCCGAGAAGTTGACCGATTGTTGCGGGTTCCAGGATTGAACTTGCAGGACAGCCAAGTGTTGTACATTTATTCCCGCGCGTTGCCTGAGCCCCTCCGGGGACACTTAGTCACTGAAGCGAAATCCGGTAAGTACAACTACAGGCAATTTCGTAACCTTGCCCTTCAAAGGGAACAGATGACTTCTCAAAGTCAAGAATTCCTATGCAGCGGTAGTCAAGTCTGGAGGAGGAGGAGGAAGACAGTACAATGGGAAACGAGTTCTCTGGCGACAGAAGCGTCAGGACCACACCCTTGTCGTCTTTGATGACGATACAGTGGAAAAGTGGCCGAACGAGGAGAATGATAACAACAGTGACTCCGGGATGGGGGGAGTCACCGCTGTTGTGGCCAATAAGGGAGGACCACCCATGACAGGAGGGAAGAAACAAAGAGCGTTTCCATGGCACCCTGGCATTGCTGATGGGAAGTCATGGGTCGAAATGGGTATGACTAGAAATACTTCGCATGAGCGCATGGACAATGCGCAATGTCTCAAGTGCGGCACAACGGGACATGTGATCGCCTACTGCCCTCAGATCCGGAACCCAAAAGCGAACAGCCAGTAGGAGTAGCATCTGCTCCTA